ATAGTATACTCAGCAAACATATGGTGGTGTATTTTGTTTTTGACTCTTAAGGATTGTATTTTCCACTACCTTCTATGTTCTGGATCAACAATGGCTCTATTGATTTACTTTTTAATGTGTAAAATATCATATTTTAAGTTTTACATCAATTATAATAGCTTTAGATGAGATACATGTACACAGTCACATACCATAAAACTTGTGACTAAGCTAAACATGAAAAACTGCTTATACATTTTATTTACAAATTCAGGTGCTGTCCATATTGAATATTAATGTCTGCTCTTACAGAACCACTTCTAAATATTAGAAATAGTTATTAATAGTAATAATTAGCTCTAGAATCCTTGAGCTAAGCAAAAATAATAAATAAATAAATAAATAGATTTCATATTTATACAAAAATGTATATGAAAAATAAATTTAAAGGAATTAAAAAGGAGATATTACCAATCTTATTATGGTTTGAGCATCTGTTATTGGAGCCTGTCACTGAGAGAAATGAAGTTTATCCAAAGTATTAAAATGCTATTTTTTTCTTTCAAAATAGTCTCTTCAAACAGAATTAGGTACAGGTATATTTTTAACTCAAATGATTTATGTCTGTTGAAACTTTTCTGTTCTACATCTATTTTGGAGTATGGCCTTTCATCTAAGATGGTATAAATATGGGTTGCTAAGTATCTGTATGTACTTCTCACATGAAGATACAAAAGTAATTGACATAGTGTGTCAGTTCATACCACAATGGAGGTTCTGTTAAATGAATAACTCCAGCCAACCTGAAATGAAGACACTGCGGTGGAGGGTGCTAATACTAAACAGAGAAAAATATTCAAATGTCTGCTGGTAAAGAACCAGTGAAGTATAGCCTAGTATAGCTGAAAACCAAGTGAATGTGAAGTAAAACCTCTGAAAATAAACAATCTGATTATTTAAAGACTTGCTGGAGCTGTTGATTTCCTTTTCGTTTTAATTCTGAATGAAAGATGACATTTATACATTCCTTCTCTATCAAAAAATAGAGGAGGCAATATCTGCCAGGATGCTGGGCGTCTACCCTCCTTTTACCAGGCGTTGGAACTCAGGGCAGGAGCTTCTCTGCAGCATTTACAACACAGTATATAGCACCACAGCAAGAAAAATACAAATCAATCAAGTCCCAGTTAACACGTCTCCACCACCACAGAGCATACATAATACACCTAATAAAACTATAAAGCAATTAAAAATAGCCAAACTGCTGCACAAACACATGAAAGGAAAAATATACCAAAGAAAGGCTCTCCCTTACGGGCTCCTTTGGTTGCTGCCCTGTACACTCTAAGTTTTCTTTTTGCAGAAATTTGGTTTCTCACCCATGCTGGTTTGTTCTAGTTCCCTATGTAAATCAATTCTGTCATTTTATGTACAAAAGAGCACTGTCATTTTGCTTGCCAGCTCCTACAACTTTGCCAAGATTATTATTTTTTTTATTTTAGCTGTTGTTAAGAAATCATTAGTGGGAATTTATTTTAGTGGCACCCAAAAATTAAAGGTCTATAGACAATGATTAGGAGTAGCCCCAGTTGCTTCTGGAAGAGTTTCTAACAAGTAGACAATGAGTACTTAAGAGGTTTTCATTTAAATGGACATCTTCACCAAGAATTCTTTAGGGATAATTTAGTCAAAACAGTGATGCTTTCATGAAACCTAGCTAAATCAAACTAGAGAAGAACGAAGGATCAAAGCAAGGATTGAAAGACTAACTAGATTCAGGCTAGGCAATGATGTCAAAAAAGCTCAGGCCATTCTATGTGTGAGCTTTCCATGGGCTAGAAATAGAAAACATAAGCTCCAAAGCAATGAGATAGAATTCTGAAAGGTTTCCAAACTGAGTAAAACATTTAAAAACAAACAAATGAACAAACGAACAAAATAACTTTCTATGGTGTGATTCTTGATAGAAATGATTTGAATCTCAGTGGACATTTAGCACTTTGGAAACATTTATCATCATCACAAAGGTTTGGGGATAGTGTGTAGCTCGTAGGAAATGGCTGAGAGTGCTGATAAGTACCCTCTACAGATAGCCTTTTACATCAAAGACACATCTGCCTTTAATAACACTTGGCAAGTGCTCCAGCTGCTATCATATGTTGGTCTGTCTAAGGACACATTTCTCTTCTAACTTTTCCATTGGGGCAAAGAAAATAAGGAATTTCTGGTATTAGTTTGTAAGAAGTGTTCTCAATTCCATTGATACATCCAATCTGCTTTCTCTTGTGTGGATCTGTGTTTACGGATATGTGAGCGATAGTATTCTCTGCTTATGAGCATGCAGCTACCTTTAGAGTGCGGGTTCTTTCCTTAGGTATACTTTAATAACTACAAAATATTCGTTTTTATATAATGAAAGAACACAATTTTAGATGGTGGCATCCCACGGATAGCACAGACTACTGAAACTATAACTATATTCTTTTAAAATGAAATTTTAAATAGTTCACTCTACGCAACACAGTTTTAAGTTATTGGGATAGTTTCAGGTTTACAGCAATGTTTCAAGTCTAGAACAAGACATTCTATGCTGTGTATGTTGGTGCATGCCTGTAACCCTAGTACCAGGGAACAAGAAGCAGGCGGCTGTCTATGAATCCAAGAACAGATTGATCTATATAGAAAGTTTGAGGTTAGTCAAGACTACACACTGAGACATCCTCTCAAACATGCAGATGAAGAGAACAAAATAGGAAATTATGTAATTCTTTATAGAGATTTTATCCAGTATTTATATTATGTCCACATTATGGTATAGATATGTTTGTGTGTGTGTGTGTGTGTGTGTATGTGTGTGTGCTTGTACACTATTTTTCTGAGCTTTACTTAATTATTCTTTTCATTTTTAAGAAGTCAATATGAAGATGTCTGCTTGTGAAACACCTTACATTTTACTTATATTTTTTTTATGTTGCACTAATTGCTAAAGGACTCTCATTTCATTGCTTCTATGAAGTTATGTTTTCATTTTCTCCTTTACTGACTTATGAGTTAAACTTCACTCCAACCAAAAAGAGAGGAGGGTAGGAAAGAAAGAAAACCCCAGCAGGGACAGAGAAACTGAAGTCAAATGCATAGAGAAAATAAGCTGTATTTTCTCTTAATTTCCTTGTATCCCAAGATGTAATTGAACTTCAAAGAAAAGTATCACAAAGAATATTTGATCTCAAACTTGTAAAAAGATAGATGTACAGAAAAATACATTGATGGGAGTTTCTTCAAAGAAAAATCTGAAAGAGTGACCACATGCATCACCAGATTTCACACTTAGAATATAAAGGCATACTGATTTGAAAACACACCTGAAGTCAAATCCTCGACTCTCTAGTATGTGGTACTTCCATAAATCTTCCTCAGTTTAAAAACTGAAATTCAGTGAGGTTGTCCAGTCTCATGTTTTGAAAAAAAGATTTTAAACCAGCACAGCCAATGTTCCAAAAAAGTCTATGTCCAACTCAGAAAACTCAGGTTAGATTCAAAACATGGCAAAATACTTTCTTCCTACAGAAGAATTCAGTCCATGTCTGTCTACCAAGAAGCCTGACCACAGCATGGCTTTTACATCTCAAATGTCTAAAATATCTGTAACTGGAATTTCTTTATCCTATTTCAATTGTTGTAGAATGTAATGATAATATGGGGTACACATAGTAGAAATGGGTTACCCATTGTAGAAAGAGAAGGGATAAAATTTAGTTGGTGACTCATGATAACTTTGCTCCTAAGCTATGATTTATTTTGCTTTTGAAATGTATTTTTCTTGTTCAGAACATTGTTTACCCCTTCCCTTTCCTCAAGTCAAACCTTCTACATATGCCTCCTTGCTCTCTTTCAAATTATTCCTTTTTTTTCACTAAGTCTTATTATTTACATATACAAGAATACGCATACATAGAGCTAAATATAACTGTCTCATATGCTTTCACGGCTGTCCAATTTGTAATTTGATGACCAATTGTTATAACCTTCCCTTAGGAAGAATATTTTTCCCACTCACTCCTCCTTAACTGTTTGTCTTAATGTTGTGTTAAAGACTGTTGGCCTTTCTTCTGTCCACTTTCAAAAGGGAATTTTAGGGCAAGAGTGTTCAAGGAGTGGATGAAAATATCAGGGGAATAAACCCTACATAGCCACCTGTTTTAGAAAATTATTTGGACACATAGCCCAGTATCATGTAATTCTAATTCTCTGTCAATAACCCAGTGTCTTATCTGCTAGTGATACCTTAAAATATATCTACACTTGAAGATCTATAACTGTTATCAAGCTTCACAATACTGGTATATATGAGTGTTCATTGTACCTCCAATGCCATCTTCTAAATAAACCCATGGAAACTGGTGTTTCTCAACAGGAGAAATCTCCTGCCCTGTTCATTTCCTAATGACTATGGCATTATCTATTTAATTCACACACTAATGACAACATCACCTGGAATATATTTATCTTCAAGAACACCTCATTATAATGAATTAGAAATTTCTTGTTCTAAATTAGTCAAGGTTGGATTGTCTTTACAGTATGTTCCATTGCTAAGGTCAAACTCTTGTGCTTGCTGAAGCTCATGGTCCTGCAGTACTTATTATTCTGGCTTTATTTTATACAAAAGTGAACGTAACTCTAAACTTGAGGTAGTTTAAGGGCATCACTAAGTCCCAAGAGAGGGCAAGCAAGGACAGTACATAAGGTGACTCTTGATTTTCCCTCTGGCCTCATAATTTCCTCACTTCCTACTTCCTTTAGTTATGTTCTTGCTTCCATTCTCAAAAGGTTTCAGAACGACTCCCAGTTACAATAACTGCTCCCTCTTAGGAAATTCTGCTTGAAAGTGACTCACCCAAATAGATTAATCAACCTCTTTTCCTCACAAGAGAAAGAAAAAAAATTTGACATAATCAGACAAAGCCCTGGCACTTTTCTGTCTCTTTTCTTGTTTTTAAAATCAAGAATGTCATTTTTAAAAAAATATGTAACATTTCATGAATTTGCATGTCATCCTTACGCAGGGGCCATGCTAATCTTCTCTGTATCGTTCCAGTTTTAGTGTACGTTCTACTGAAGAGAATCAACATTCCTTTTGTCTTTCTTCCTCTGAAGCTTCATATTTCATAAAATTTTCTTCCATATCTGGAAAGAGCAACATACATTAAAACTTGAAGCCATCTCTAAATTTCTTATAAAATGCAAGTAAAGCATCTGGTAGGTCTGATAGATTGGGCAAACTTTACCACAAATCAATACGGCAGCTCATTATGGGAAGAACAATCCAGTAAATGGGAATAATAGTTGATTAGTGTTGATTTACTTACTCTGTACACACAGCTATGGTAGGTTATATCACGTGACTTACTACTGTACTAGAAAATTTAAAAAAATGAGAGAAAGTCATGTGGAAAAGTATAGTAGAATTATTGTAGAAAAAAGAGAAAATAAGCTTTAGGTGAAACCAAAGTTGTGGACACAAATTGACACACTACACAAACTTTGTCATCATTTATAAAACTCAGAAAACTGCAGTACTTGTTAACTAATTAAAAACGTATTAATATTTGTAGATTAAAATTGTAACTATTTTAATGTGTAGAGTAAAATACATGACGTTTAGTCATGTAAAGAATAACATAGGGACCTCTCTAAACCCAAAGCTGCACTTTAATAATCAGAACTCAGTAATATCACTCACTCAAGATAACCAGGAACAGTCCTAGAACCCCATGATGTTCACTGGACAGTGTGTAATCAGAGTCTAAGAACAATGCTGTGCTCTGCACATATGGAGAGATGCCACTTTAATATGCCTCTATCTGGGTAGCTTTCTGTAATAGCTCACAGTGATATCAGTAGATATGTCAAGTGTTCTTATCCAAGCAGTTATTTTAAAGGACATTATTCTCAAAAGTCTCTACCCATAAGTGGATAGTTTTCCCCAGGATCCTGACCATTGAGTCAAGATACTTCTCTTAGAAACTGGACTTGATCTTCAGCTAAGATATATCACACAGGTAAACAGCCTTGGGGAAATATATATGCTTAGGACAGTAGTGTGGAATTAATAGTGTGACCCTTGTGTGAAGACCATTTTCATAATAAGTGTAACTTTTATTATACTAACTATGTGTATATATCTACTTTTTATTAATTATTTTATTTATTTCCATTCTAGCTGTTGCTCCCACCTGTACCCTTCCACAGTTCCTCATCCCATCCCCCCTTCCCCTTTCCTCCAAGAGGGTGCTTCAGTCCTCATCTGCGGACATCTCCCTTCTTTGGGCCCTCAAGCCTCTGAAGGGTCAGGTACATCTTCTTCTACTGTGGCCAAACCAGGCAGTCTTCTTCTATTTATGTGGCAGGGGCCTCGGACCAGCCCATGTATGCTGCCTGGTTGGTGGGTCAGACACTGGGAGGTCCTGGGGGTCTGAGTTAGTTGAGAATTCTGATCTATAGGGTTGGCCTTCCCTTCAACTTCTTCTATCCTTCCCCTAATTCCTCTATGGGGTCCCCAAATTTAGTCTAATGGTTGCATTTGCATCTGTCTCAGTCAGTGGCTGGTAGAGCCTCTGAGAGGACGGCCATGCCAGGCTCCTATCTGCAAGCTCAATATGGCATCACTTCTGTGGAACTGTTGGAGGGGGACCTGGAACAATTCTGATTTTGTAACCTTGCCCTTACCTCATTTTTAATTATTATTTATTTATTTACTTACTTATTTATTGACCTTAGATCCCACTTCTGCCCCATCCAGGTTACCCCTCTGACAATTCTTTCCCCATTCATGCCTCCCCTTCTCCTTTGAGAAGGTGGGAATCCTCTTGGGTATCCCCTCACCCTGGCACTAAGAGGAAGTCCATTATCTACAGTCTTGCTAGAAACATCTATGTATAAACATAACACTTTCTAGGTTTGACTGTATATAGATAGAATAACTAGAAAATCTACTACTACTTTCACTGTTATGTATGTGAAATCTCTATTTTCTAATAAACAAATACATACATTTATATTTAAACACAATAAAAGTTTAATTAAATCTATGACTTTTTTCCAAAAACAAGCAAGCAAACAAACAAACAAAAACCAAATGCCTTGAAGAGATCATTTCCAATTGCTTTGCCATCTTCTGAAAAAGAAAAAGTTACCAACTCATGTTGGTAGATGTTTAGTGCTTTAGAAAAAATCCTATTAAATAACATTTCTCCTATAGCCCTGCAGCTGAGAATAAATTGTAATACAGAGTGCGACCTGTGGATGTTTTTCTTATTTATGATGGCGGGTGTGGAAGCCTGAGGAACAGGGGCCAAGTCCTTGGTGTTAAAACCTTTACCTTCATTATTCTTATTATTGTCTGGAACAAAACAAGGCTCTGCCTCCAGCCACAAGAAATTGGAGATCCTGAGTCTAGTAACTGAGAAACTATGGAATCCAGCTCCCTCTCTCTGGGCAGCTTTCTGTAATAGCTCACACTGATAGTCGTGGCTGACTCAAGTGCTCTTAGCCAAGGAGTTCTTTTAAAGGACATACATCCAGAGGTAAATGCATGCAATTTGAGCATAAGTACCTGTTTACAAAAATATATCACATACCTAAACTTTGTCAAATAAATATGTATCTTATATCTATCTCTTCTTTTGAGAGCAGTTTACTAAATCCATGAGGACCTCCCCTAAGTTTGCATGAGAAGGCAACAACATTACACAGCAAAAGAATGCACGTTTTCTTAACTAGTTCAGTCACTTGGGACTTCAGAGATCTACAAGCTAAAGGTTCACCTTGATTTCTGGACTGTTCATTATTTTACTTTGCTCATACAAACCAGTCCCCAGAGATGTATTCTGACTTCCAGAAAGCTAGTGGTGCTATTGATGAGATGTTCCTGGTGAGGGAATAGCAGGTTGTATGTCCTGCCTGTTTTCTTTTTGGCAGGTTAATTCAGTGAAGGACTGCATGCCCTCGACTACATGCAGACACATCCCTTCCCTGATCTATACCTGACCTTTCACTACAACTGACATCTAGATTTTTTTCAAAGCTAATTGTTAAACACTTTAAGAAGTTTGCTTCGAAACGACCATAGTTGACGTGTCATTAATAGACAACAATCTTGTACGTTTGTAGAATTTAAAAGTTACGGTTTTATCTATAGTATAATACAAGCCAAATATCTAAATATATAATATCTGGCGACTACATAATAACTCACCCTACATTTTTATTGTTATTAAATTGTGACATATCATGCTAATTGTTGACATGCTCACATCCTAGTCAGTGTGAAAGTTTACTAAGAACACAGTAGGAATTGATTTTCACTATAGATTGATATGTTATATCCCCCATTTTCTGAGTGCTACAAGTGAAGCTAACGGGTGTAAAATAACCTTCTGAATGCTGCACCCAAAGAGGACCAGGAGAATCCAATTCAGAACCTGTAAAGTTGAACAGTAATGCACTTGTCCTTTCAACTACACTCTGCAGAGTTTGCCTCCTGACACAAAATGTCACTCCCATTTCTGGGACCCATATGCAGGACTTTACACTTCCATCCCTGTCTAAGATTAGAAGAGAGGGTGGATCAGAAACAAGCCTTGCATCCAATTCTATTCATCTTACATGCCAGCCCAGCCCCTGTTGCCTGTCACTCCACATGAAGCAGAAAGCCAGGCCAAATTAAATCCAGCTGTCAAGACGGCCAGATTTGTGGCAAGCAGAGATGCTCTTTACTCCTAATGTGAAAGCTCTGATTGAAAAGACAAAAAGAATTTAATCAGTCACTGCGCACTGCAGCTCGGGTAACTAACTCCAAAGTGTTTGACTTGCTCTGCAGTACTTCCCATGTCTCTTTTCTCCCCAGTGCCAGTGTGCATTGCTCTGCTTGGGATGAGCCCTCCTGGCTAAGCTTCAGTAATTGGATTATTCATACACTGTGTGAGTAGCTCCTGTAAGTCAGCAGTTTATGGAGCCCAGCAAAGAGGTAGGTGCTGGAGCAGAAAGGGCTTGCTTTTCCAGAGTTGGCCCGGGGTCCTCAGGATGCTATAAAGTTTGATGGTCTGAAGCCGAAGTGCCCGCGCAACTGGCAGGTGATAAAGAAGGGCAGTTCAATCTGCCAGTCACCCAGACACGGGGACATGGAGATGGGGAGGATAACCTATATTGTTAAGAATTGTGGATCTTTTTGCCCAAATCTCTTTGAATATCCAGTGAGATTAAAGTCAGGAGATTATGGCAATGCTCTACCCTAGGCAAGGTAAGCTTTTTTAGCAAGCCGGAAGAGTTCTGATGTCAGTGTCCTTGCTAAAATCCAAGGATATAAAGGATATAAAGAACAATTTGCCACGAGTCATAAACTAGCTGTGTTCCTGAACTAATAAATAAATAAATAAATAAATAAATAAATAAATAAATAAAGGGGCTGTTCATTTGTAACTTCTCTGTACTGAGACAAAATGGAAATATTTCAAAAGTAGTTGACTGTTTTAAACTTCTGTCACCATCTTGTAAAAGCTCCTAGACTCTCACACTCTCACACCATGACGTTCTTCTGGTCTGGATGTTACCAGTGGGAGTAAAAGAGAAGCTTAGAGGGACTAGGGGCTAGGTCACTTTGTACAGCAAGATACATGGCACTTATAAAAGAAACTTAAAAACTTATAAATCAGTTTTCAGGAGGCACCGCTGTAGGTAGATGATGGACTATTTGTTTCTTTATGTATAAGAGTACTTGTTTTAAACTTCAGCATCACAAGAAATAAAAGGTAATGAAATAAATAAACTGTCTTTGTTTTCTGCAATTGCCCATCCTTGGCATTAGATGTGACAGTCCAGTTTCACAAGGCTTTTTTTCCTTTCTCCACTTTCACACGGCTTTCTTCCTCTGTGTATATGCTTCCTCCATCTGACTTTAGACCCCCTCTCTCCACACAAGGCCAGTGGCCACTGGATTAAGGTACACTATGATCAAGGATAACATCAAATTAGTTTGTGGACTTCTTCAAAGACTCTACTAACAAATATAATTCTTAAGTACTGAGATTATTAAATTAACATATGTGTTTAAGGAACACACTTCAAC